TCTCTCCCAGTCCCTCCCAGTCCCTCCCAGTCCTTCCCAGTCTCTCTCCCAGTCCCTCCCAGTCCCTCCCAGTCCTTCCCAGTCTCTCTCCCAGTCCCTCCCAGTCCCTCCCAGTCTCTCCCAGTCTCTCTCCCAGTCTCTCCCAGTCCCTCCCAGTCTCTCCCAGTCTCTCTCCCAGTCCCTCCCAGTCTCTCCCAGTCCCTCCCAGTCCTTCCCAGTCTCCCTCCCAGTCCCTCCCAGTCCCTCCCAGTCTCTCCCAGTCCCTCCCAGTCTCTCTCCCAGTCCCTCCCAGTCCCTCCCAGTCTCTCCCAGTCTCTCCCAGTCTCTCCCAGTCCCTCCCAGTCTCTCTCCCAGTCCCTCCCAGTCCTTCCCAGTCTCTCTCCCAGTCCCTCCCAGTCTCTCTCCCAGTCCCTCCCAGTCCCTCCCAGTCGCTCCGTGCCCCCCCCCCTCTCTACGTGCTCCGCGCTGGCCCCGCTCGGGACGCGCTGTTCCTGTCCCTGGCGCCGCGCCCGGCGCCGATGTGTGTCAATGTATGCTAATGTATGCTAATGTATGCTAATGCATGCCGATGGGGGCACGCCCACACGTGCGCTGGCAGCGCCCGCTCGTTCCCTGCTACCCCGTGGAGGGACTGGGAGAACTGGGACCAGTTCCGGGCTCCAACTGGGAGCAGTCACTGGGCATCAACTGGGATCAGTCCCAGGCTCTAACTGGGACCAGTTCCGGGCTCTAACTGGGACCAGTTCCGGGCTCCAACTGGGAGCAGTCACTGGGCATCAACTGGGATCAGTCCCAGGCTCTAACTGGGACCAGTTCCGGGCTCCAACTGGGAGCGGTCACTGGGAAGTGAATGGGAGCAGGCTCTAACTGGGACCAGTTCCAGGCTCTAACTGGGAGCAGTCACTGGGCATCAGCTGGGATCAGTCCCAGGCTCTAACTGGGACCAGTTCTGGGCTCTAACTGGGACCAGTTCCGGGCTCCAACTGGGAGCAGTCACTGGGCATCAACTGGGACCAGTCCCAGGCTCTAACTGGGACCAGTTCCGGGCTCCAACTGGGAGCAGTCACTGGGCATCAGCTGGGACCAGTCCCAGGCTCTAACTGGGACCAGTTCCGGGCTCTAACTGGGAGCAGTCACTGGGCTCTAACTGGGATCAGTCCCAGGCTCTAACTGGGAGCAGTCACTGGGCATCAACTGGGATCAGTCCCAGGCTCTAACTGGGACCAGTTCCGGGCTCCAACTGGGACCAGTTCCGGGCTCTAACTGGGAGCAGTTCCGGGCTCTAACTGGGACCAGTTCCGGGCTCCAACTGGGAGCAGTTCCGGGCTCTAACTGGGAGCAGTCACTGGGCATCAACTGGGATCAGTCCCAGGCTCTAACTGGGACCAGTTACTGGGCACTGAATGGAACCAGGCAATAACTGGGACCAGTCCCAGGCTCTAACTGGGACCAGTCCTGGACTCTAACTGGGACCAGTTACTGGGCACTGAATGGGACCAGTCAATAACTGGGACCAGTCCCAGGCTCTAACTGGGACCAGTTACTGGGCTCTAACTGAGACCAGTCCCAGACTCTAACTGGGACCAGTTACTGGGCTCTAACTGGGACCAGTCCCAGACTCTAACTGGGACCAGTTACTGGGCACTGAATGGGACCAGTCCCAGACTCTAACTGGGACCAGTTACTGGGCACTGAATGGGACCAGTCAATAACTGGTCCCAGTCCAAGGCACCGGAGGGGGTGTGTGTGTTCTGTGCCCCCCCCACGCCGAGGCCACACGTGATGCACACACATGAACACGCGTGTTCCCTCTCACACACCCCCCCCCCCGTGACCCCATGGACCCCCATAAGTGCCCCCTCCCCCTCCCCCCCAATGTAAGCCCCCCTCCCCCCACCCCCCCCCCCACCACCCTGGCTCAATCCTCCCCTCCCCCCCCCCCAAAAAGATTCGGACCCTGCCCCCCCCCCCCCGATCCTTCCCCTCCCCCCATTGGGACCCCCCCCCCACGACCCCGCCCCCCCCCGCTCTCTCCTCAAGGACCCCCCCCTCCCCCAAGGGGACCCGATCCTGCCCCCTCCCCCCTCCCCCCCCCCCGTACCCCAAAACCCGTTCCCCCCCCCCCACCCCCCCCCCCGTGCCCTGCCCCCCCCCGTACCTCGCCCCGGGCCGCCCGTCCATGGCCGCCGCCGCCGCCGCCCGCAGCGCGCCCCCTCCCCGGCCACGCCCCCCTCCCCGGGGCCACGCCCCCCTCGGCACGCCCCATTGGCCGCCGGCCCAAGCCCCCCGCCCAGGACACGCCCCCCCCCCCCACCCCCATTGGCAGCTTGCCCACGCCCCCCGCCCAGGACACGCCCCCCCTTCGGCAGCCGGCCAAGCAGACCACGCCCCCTTCCCGCTTGGCCACGCCCCTCCCGAGGGCGGGCTGTTCTGGCCACGCCCCCCCCCCCCCCTCCATTGACACCGGTCCCCCCCCCCCCCCCCCCCCCATGTTTGGGGCTCGCCCCCTCCCCCCCCCCCCGGATCCTGCCGCCGTGGCCGCGCCGGGGCCACGCCCCCTCCGTTTTCCCGCCACGCCTCCCTTTCCCGCGCTTACGCGGAAGTGACACGTGAGGACGGCGCGCGGGAACGGGAGCGGGAGCGGGAACGGGAACGGGAGCGGGAACGGGAACGGGAATGGGAATGGGAATGGGAATGGGAACGGGAACGGGAGCGGGAACGGGAGCGGAAACGGGAGCGGGAACGGGAGCGGGAACGGGAACGGGGACGGGAATGGGAATGGGAATGGGAACGGGAACGGGAGCGGGAACGGGAGCGGAAACGGGAACGGGAACGGGAGCGGGAACGGGAGCGGGAACGGGAACGGGAACGGGAATGGGAATGGGAACGGGAACGGGAGCGGGAACGGGAGCGGAAACGGGAGCGGGAACGGGAACGGGGACGGGAATGGGAACGGGAGCGGGAACGGGAGCGGGAATGGGAACGGGAACGGGAACGGGAATGGGAATGGGAGCGGGAGCGGGAACAGGAAGGGGCACGGAAACAGGAAAGGAAACGGGAACAGGAATGGGAGCCGGAAGGGGAGCGGGAACGGGAACGGGAATGGGAATGGGAATGAAAACAGGAATGGGAGCGAGAACTGGAATGGGAATGGGAATGAAAACGGGAATGGGAACAGGAACAGGAATGGGAATGGGAATGAAAACGGGAATGGGAACAGGAATGGGAATGGGAATGAAAACAGGAATGGGAATGAAAACGGAACAGGAATGGGAATGGGAATGAGAATGGGAACGGGAAAGGGAATAGGAATGGGAATGGGAACAGGAATGGGAATGGGAACGGGAATGAAAACGGGAACAGGAATGGGAATGGGAATGAAAACAGGAATGGGAATGGGAACAAGAACGGGAATGAGAATGGGAACGGGAAAGGGATTAGGAATGGGAATGGGAAAGGGAATAGGAATGGGAACGGGAATGAAAACAGGAACAGGAATGGGAATGGGAATGAAAACAGGAATGGGAATGGGAACGAGAACGGGAATGGGAATGGGAAAGGGAATAGGAATGGGAATGGGAACAGGAGACTGAGAGGTCCGAAAGCATCCTTGCGTTATCCTTGTTATCCTTGCCTTATCCTTGCCTTATCCTTGTGTTATCCTTGCGTTATCCCAGCTCGGCCCTCGGGAGGAGCAGGAGCTCGCTCCAAGCCTCTTTATCCCGAGCTTCCAAAGGAAAGGAATCCCTGAGGGAGCAAGTGTGGGTCCAGCCCGTGCGGTGCTCCTGGGGAGGACCATGGGGCTGGGCCTGGTGCTGCTTCAGCATCACACATGGGGGGGGGAAGGACCGGATTCCAGCCACGCTATTCCCATCTCCCGTAGGCAATTCCCATGTCCCATAGATGATTCCCGTTCCCATAGACAATTCCCATCTCCCATAGGGAATTCCCATCTCCTATAGACAATTCCCATAGACAATTCCTGTGCCCCATAGACAATTCCCTCTCCCACAGACAATTCCATCTCCCATAGACAATTCCCATAGAGAATTCCCACCTCCCATAGGGAATTCCCATCTCCCATAGACAATTCCCATCAAGAATTCCCATCTCCCATAGGGAATTCCCATCTCCCATAGACAATTCCCATCGGTAATTCCCATCTCCTGTAGATAATTCTCGTAGACAATTCCCATCTCCCATAGGGAATTCCCATCTCCCATAGGGAATTCCCACCTCCCGTAAACAATTCCCATCGACAATTCCCATCTCCCGTAGGGAATTCCCATCTCCCATTGACAATTCCCATGGAGAATTCCCATCTCCCATAGGGAATTCCCATCTCCCATTGACAATTCCCATGGAGAATTCCCATCCCCCATAGGGAATTCCCATCTCCCATAGACAATTCCCATCGATAATTCCCATCTCCCATAGACAATTCCCATGGAGAATTCCCATCCCCCGTAGGGAATTCCCATCTCCCATTGACAATTCCCATGGAGAATTCCCATCCCCCATAGGGAATTCCCATCTCCCATAGACAATTCCCATCGACAATTCCCATCTCCCATCGACCATTCCCACCTCCCATAGACAATTCCCATTGATAATTCCCATCTCCCATGGGCAATTCCCGTCTCCCATAGGGAATTCCCACCTCCCATAGGGAATTCCCCCCTCCCGCAGACAATTCCCTCTGCTCCATCCCCACCCATGCAGCAGAGCCCATCGCCCACCCAAGGCCCCACAAGCGGAGGCTCCGCTCGGAAGGACCTCTTCCATCTCCCACGTCGAGCTTTAATGAGCGCGGCCCCAAAAGCGCCCCGAAAGCAAGAAATGGGGGGGGCCCGGATTAAAAAAATACTCTTTTTAAACCCCATCGACTCTTAAAAATAGACAAGAATCAGCTTAAAATCCAACCACCCCCCCCCCCCTTTTCTCCCCAGCATCCCGACGCGGCGCCGGCATCGCCATCGGCATCGGCGCCCTTCCGGCCGTTAAGGCAACGTTTCCATTGTCCCAAAGGCCACGGTGCAATCCCCCTCGCTCCCCGTTTGCCCTTGCTGGAGGCTCTCCCGTGGGTCGGGCAGTTTGGCTGCGGCGCCGTTGGTTTGGGAGCAGCCGTGGGTCACGGTGGGCGCCTTGCTCTTGGCGTGGTGGTTGTAGACTTTGTACTTGAGGAGGAGGATGAAGATGAAGACGAGCACCGAGGCCACGATGATGCCGCCGATGACGATGATCATGGTGCCGCCCAGGAACTGAGCGTGGAGCGAGCGGCACCGCTTGTACTCCTCTTGGGTGGTGAACCTCACGCACCCAACGGTCCTCGTGGCCGTCAACGCCGTCAAGCCGTCGTCGTAGACGGCCAAGACGCAGAGGTCGTACTCGCGCCCTGCAACCAGATCAGCCAAGAAGAAGGATTTGCTGGAGGCCGGGATCATCCTGCAGGAGAAGAAGGAGCGGGATGAGCCGCGGCGGTCCCGGTGACGGGAGAGCAAAGGGCAATGGGTTTCCTCTTCGCTATCCCGTGGCGCGATGGGTTGGCGGCGGTAGGGTTGGCACCCAACCGTTGGGCATGGGGAGGCGGGGAGGGGAAGGGGTGGCAGCGGTAAGGGCTGGGGGAGAAGGGTGTAGGGGGAGGTATGTGGGGATGGGTGTGTATAGGGGTGGGTATATAGGGGTAGTTATATGGGGATTGATATATAAGTATATATAGGAATAGATATATAGGACTGGATATGTAAGTATATATAGGAATAGATATATAGGACTGGATATGTAAGTATATATAGGAATAGATATATAGGACTGGATATGTAAGTATATATAGGAATAGATATATAGGATATATAGTATATATAGGAATAGATATATAGGAATGGATATGTAAGTATATATAGGAATAGATATATAGGACTGGATATGTAAGTATATATAGGAATAGATATATAGGACTGGATATGTAAGTATATATAGGAATAGATACACAGGAATGGATATATAAGTATATATAGGAATAGATATATAGGAATGGATATGTAAGTATATATGGGAATAGATATACAGGAATAGATATACAAGAGTATAAGTATATATGGGAATGGATACATAGGAATATATATACAGGAATAGATATATGGGAATATATATATAGGTATATATAGGAATGGATATAGAGGAATATATATACAGGAATAGATATATAGGGATACACAGGAATAGATATATAGGAATAGATATAGGGGAATGGATATTGGTGACTCTCTATAGGTATATATAGGAATGGATATAGGGGAATGGATATGGAGGAATTAATATAGAGGAATGGATAGAGGTGACTCTCTATGTAGGTATATATAGGAATGGATATAGAGGAATGGATATGGGTGACTCTATAGGTATATATAGGAATGGATATAGGTGACTCTCTATGTAGGTATATATACAACCACTGCCCCCCATTCCCTCCTTGGATGGGTGCAGGAGGCAACCACTGCCCCCCATTCCCTCCTTGTTGGATGGGTGCAGGAGGCAACCACTGCCCCCCATTCCCTCCTTTGATGGGCGAAGGAGGCAACCACTGCCCCCCATTCCCTCCTATATGGGTCCTGCTTGCAAGGCAGCTGCGGTTGGACCGAGGATGCCTCACGAGAGCCTTCCTCCCAGCGCCCCAAAGGCACGAGCAGGCTTTACCTGTACACGAGGATGTCGTCGGACGAGCTGTTGTACTGGATCTGGTACATCCGCATGCCGGGGAGGTGATGCTGGGAAGGCCACTGGATGAGAGCGGAGGAGGAAGTCAACTCCGTGACCACCACCCCCTTGTCCTGCGGAGCCTTCGTTTCGTTGGGAAAGCTCGACTTGGCCGAGATGAGGATGTCCGAGGCGCCGGGCTCCGCATCCTTCTCGCAGTTGGTGCTGTTGGCCAGGTTGGCGTACGGGCTCACCAGGAGCTCGACCGGCGCCGTCGACTCGCCGGCGGCGTTGGACGCGATGCAGGTAAAGGTGCCTTTGTCCCCTAGGGAAGCGAGCAGGATATCCAAGGTGCCGTTCTCGTAGGAGATAGTCCTGGATGTGTTCGAGACCAGCTTCCCATCGGGAGCGATCCACCGGACGTAGGGATCGGGATCGCCGACGGCTTTGCACTTCAAGGAGATGCTTTGGCCTTCGGTTGCCGCCAGCTTGGGGGTGCGGTGGGTGATCATGGGGGGCTCGCACACAAACTCCTCCTCTTTGATGGACCAGAAGTACTTGCCCATGAGCTCCGGCGGGGAAGCGCAGGTCTCCAGGTCGTCCTCCCTGGTGAGGCGCCTCAACCACACGAGCTCGCAGTTGCAATGCAACGGGTTCCCCCCGAAGCTGAGCACCAGCGACGACAACGGCGAGCCCTTGGATTTGGTGTACACGGGTATCCTGGAAAACAAGGGGTCCGGAGGGATCTTCTTCAGCTTGTTGGAGGTCATGTCCAGGCGGGCGAGCTTGTGCAGGTTGGAGAAGATCCCTTCGGGCACGGCCTCGATGAGGTTGTGGTCCAAGCTGATGGTGTTGACGTTGGAGAGCTTGGCGACGGTCTCCCACGGGACGTGGACGAGGTTGTTGTAGGACAGGTCCAGGTCTTCGATGGTCTCGATGAAGTCGTCCAAGGAGCCGGGGGAGATGGAGCTCAGTTGGTTGTTGCTGAGGATTAAGTGGCGGAGGTTGATCAAGCCTTTGAAGTGGTCTTCGTCGATGCGCGTCAAGCGGTTGCTGTCCAAGTGCAAGGCGTGGAGGCCCTTGAGATCGAAGAAGGCGTAAGGCATGATCTGACTGATGGTGTTCCTGGAGAGCGTGAGGTGGATGAGGTTGGTCATGTTGGCAAAGTCCTTCCTCCGCAGCGTGGTGATGAAGTTGTCCATGAGGCGCAGCTCCGCCGTGCGCCGGTCGATGCTGGGCGGCACGAAGAGGAGCCCCGTCTTGGTGCACAGGATGGTGAAGGATGGGGAGAGGTTTTGGCACATGCAGCGCTTGGGACACATCATGGCCTTCACGGCGGTGCTAACAACCAGCAGGGAGACGACCAGCCTTTCCATCGTAAGCTGCGCAACAGACCTGGGGCGGGAGGAAGGAGAAATGCGCGTCAAGAGAGGGGGAAGGAGGAGAAATGAGGGGAAATAGAGGGGAAAGGAGGAGGAATGCATGGAAAGAGAGGGGAAAGGAGGAGAAATGCATGGAAATAGAGGGGAAAGAAGGAGGAATGCATGGAAATAGAGGGGAAAGGAGGAGGAATGCATGGAAAGAGAGGGGAAAGGAGGAAATAGAGGGGAAAGGAGGAGAAATGCATGGAAAGAGAGGGGAAAGGAGGAGAAATGCATGGAAATTGAGTTGAAAGAAGGAGGAATGCATGGAAATAGAGGGGAAAGGAGGAGGAATGCATGGAAAGAGAGGGGAAAGGAGGAAATAGAGGGGAAAGGAGGAGAAATGCATGGAAAGAGAGGGGAAAGGAGGAGAAATGCATGGAAATAGAGGGGAAAGAAGGAGGAATGCATGGAAATGGAGGGGAAAGGAGGCGAAAGGCATGGAAATAGAGGGGAAAGGAGGAGAAATGCATGGAAATGGAGGGGAAAGGAGGAGAAATGCATGGAAATGGGAAAGAAGGAGAAATGCATGGAAATAGAGGGGAAAGGAGGAAATAGAGGGGAAAGAAGGAGAAATGCATGGAAATAGAGGGGAAAGGAGGAAATAGAGGGGAAAGAAGGAGAAATGCATGGAAAGAGAGGGGAAAGGAGGAGAAATGCATGGAAATAGAGGGGAAAGGAGGAGAAAGTCATGGAAATAGAGGGGAAAGGAGGAGGAATGCATGGAAATAGAGGGGAAAGGAGGAAATAGAGGGGAAAGAAGGAGAAATGCATGGAAATAGAGGGGAAAGGAGGAGAAATGCATGGAAATAGAGGGAAAAGGAGAAATGCATGGAAATAGGGGGGAAAGGAGGAGGAATGCATAGAAATAGAGGGGAAAGGAGGAAATAGAGGGGAAAGGAGGAGAAATGCATGGAAATAGAGGGGAAAGGAGGAGACATGCGGGGAAATAGAGGGGAAAGGAGGAGAAATGCATGGAAATAGAGGGGAAAGGAGAATGCATGGAAATAGAGGGGAAAGGAGAAAATAGAGGGGAAAGAAGGAGAAATGCATGGAAATAGAGGGAAAAGAAGGAGAAATGCATGGAAATAGAGGGGAAAGGAGGAGGAATGCATGGAAATAGAGGGGAAAGGAGGAAATAGAGGGGAAAGAAGGAGAAATGCATGGAAATAGAGGGAAAAGAAGGAGAAATGCATGGAAATAGAGGGAAAAGAAGGAGAAACGCATGGAAATAGGCCTTAGGAATTGGTCTACATCAACGTTTTCAATGCAAACTGGAACCACCTTCCGAAGACCACGATGGATTTCCCTGCTCATCCCAACTTGGCTGGTTTTAGGGGGAAGAGCTTGGAGTTTGGCTCTACTCCCCATGACCAGTCCATAGGTCCATAGGTCATGCTGATGCCTCCGAAGGGCAAAGAGGAGGCCAAGAGTTGGTGGAGATGGCCTTGAACGCGCACCAAAGGGGGAAAGAGAAGACCCAAGCCCCTTGAGCTTCGCTTCAACCTTGGCCAATGGAGGATTCCGAGGTGTTTGTGGGAGGACGACACAAGAATCGAGCCATAAAAAGGCCATAAAAAACCCCAAAACATCAAAAATCCCCCTTGGAAATGAAATATTTTCTATTACAAATTATCTCAATAGGTAAAACCTGCCCCAAAATGATGCTTTCAAGGCTCCTCTTTGCCCCAGGAAGGCCTGGACCCCTGGGAGAGCTCGTTTCTCTCTATGACAGTGAATTGCACTGATTGCAGCTGAGAATGAAGAGCTGGGGGTGGTGGGATTCAGGTTGGGGGGGGGGTTTGCAGCCTTCCCACACAGGCAAGGCAGATGGACGGGCATTTGGCAGCCTTCAACAGAGAGTCTATAATGGTGCGAGCATCTGCTATGGGGGAGACAAAGCCCAGCCCCCCGAAAGAGCCTTGTGGGGGGGAAACGCTCCCGATCCCATGGGGAAGGAGAGCAAAGGGATGGAAAAGTGGGGATGGAAAGGGCAGGGAGATGGGTTGTGTCCTGCCAATGGGATGAAGGCAGGGGTGGGGTCCTGCAACAGCATCCGAAACCAGAAGGGGAGAGGGAAATTATATATATATATAAAATCATAACAAATAGAATAATAAATGCATATAATGATAAGAAATCTGATAATAAATATGTAATTATAATAAATTAATGATAAATATATAATTATGATAAATAGATTATATATTATAAATGATATAGATTATAGATTATAAATGATTAGAATCAATAATAAAAATAATTATACTAAATATAATGATAAGTATATAATTATAATAGATATATAATTATCATAGATATATAATTATCATAGATATATAATTATAATAAGTGTGATAATAAATGTATGATATATGATGCTCATCCAATGGGATGCTGAGCGAGCACGTAACCCAGGAGAACACCAATAGCTCCTGATGAAGTGTAAATGGGAATGGGAAGGATTCTATTCCAATGAGTGATAAAGGGACGCCGAGATTTACTCTACAATGGCCCCACCACAGTGCTGCAAGTGGGGTCTCACCAGCATGGTTTTATGCTGCTAATAGTAGTCCCTCATTGCTGGTTCTCATAGATGGTCCCCATAGGCCTCGTAGATGGTCCTCATGGACCTCATAGATGGTCCCCATAGACCTCAGAGATGGTCCCCATAGACCTCATAGATGGTCCTGGTAGCTGGTCCCCATAGCCCTCATAGATGGTCCCCATAGACCTCATAGATGGTCCCCATAGACCTCATAGATGGTTCCCATAGACCTCATAGATGGTTCTCACAGATGGACCCCATAGACCTCATAGATGGCCCTTATAGACCTCATAGATGGTCCCCATAGACCCCATAGGTGGTCCTCGTAGATGGTCCCCATAGACCTCATAGATGGTCCTCATAGATGGTCCCCATAGACCTCTTAGATGGCCCTTATAGACCTCATAGATGGACCCCACAGACCTCATAGATGGCCCTTATAGACCTCATAGATGGTCCCCATCGGTGGTCCCCATAGACCTCATAGATGGCCCTTATAGACCTCATAGATGGTCCCAATAGACCTCATAGATGGCCCTTATAGACCTCATAAATGGTCCCCACAGACCTCATAGATGGCCCTTATAGACCTCATAGATGGTCCCCATAGACCTCATAGATGGCCCTTATAGACCTCATAGATGGCCCTTATAGACCTCATAGATGGCCCTTATAGACCTCCTAGATGGACCCCATAGACCTCATAGATGGCCCTTATAGACCTCATAGATGGCCCTTATAGACCCCATAGACCTCATAGATGGCCCTTATAGACCTCATAGATGGCCCTTATAGACCTCATAGATGGTCCCCCTAGACCTCATAGATGTTCCCCATTGATGGTCCCCATAGACCTCATAGATGGCCCTTATAGACCTCATAGATGGTCCCCATAGACCTCATAGATGGTCCCCATAGACTTCACAGATGGTCCCTCCCTGCTGAGGGACCACCGCACCATTGACCTCCGATCTTCCCTCTCCTCCTCCCATCAACCCCGACCCAAGGAGCCAAATAACCCCCATTTGGCCAGCACTTCCCCAGAGCACATCCGAGGAGCATCCCAGTTCCTTGCACGTTGGGATGGGGAACAGCACCTCCTGCCCGACCTCGCCTTGATGCTGCTCCGTCAGCCCGGCTCCAGCATTCCCAATGGAGAAATCCAAGCAGCGAGCTGGAAAACATCAACCTCGGGCCCTCGAGTGCAGCTGCATCAGCAGAGGTTGGTGCTATCCTGCTCCATCAGGCCTGCATCACAGCGGTGCTGTGCTCAAAGCATCGCGCAACGGAGCCCTACCTGGGCTTGGCTTTAAGGAGCAGGGACTCCGAAGCTCCTCCTTAAAACACCACCAAAAAGGACCCTTGCCAACGGTCACAAAAACCCCAAAACCCCACGTTTGTGCCCCAAAGAAAGACATCGAACCCCGACCCCAAAATCACTGCATCTTCACAAGAGGGGATGGGGATTAAGGAGCATCTTCCCTGCCCTTCAAACCACAAAGCCAAACCCTAACCCAGATCAGACAAGGGATGCAGGGATCCCCTCTTCACACAGGAGCCGATCTGCATTTGAAAGGCAGAGCATCAAAGGGATCAAGATTCCCACCAGGAATAGCATCCTCCGGGCCCTGTATCCGGCTCCCTCTATCCCCATCCTCCTCTGACCCACTTACTCCTTGGGAAGAGCGCTGCAAGTGCATGGACCCACATGGACCTTCTATGGAAGCAGCACAGCATCCGTGGCATAAAAGCATCATCCTACAGGTATTAAGGTTTTGCCAAGCCTTTTTCTCTGTTTCCATCCCTTTTCCCCCCTGACTTCAAGTCATTTGGGGCTAGGCAGAGGGGCAGGAAAGGACCAAACCCCATGCATCGGATGCTCCTGACCTCGGGCATCCTAAGCTCCCCCTAAAGGAAGCTCTTTTAGGGGTAAAACCTGCCATAAAGGCAAACTGCCATAACCCCTGGATTCCATCGATCCGCCACGGGAATCCCGACCCAATAATCCCCATTCCCATGCAAATACCCCTTGGAAACACAAAGGAACCCGTGTCCATCTGCATGCAGCCCTGGGGCATGAGGGCATTGGGGAGCTGGGATTTCTAAGGAAGCATTGACCCTTAGGAAGAGAGAAGGAATAAAAAGCTTTACCATTTAGGTGCTGCTTGATGCTCTGGCATCTCAACTTGAGAAGAAAAGACCCATAAATCTAACCTTTGTATCCACCTGCCCCAAATTCACCTGAAATCAGGCTCTTTCAGCCCCCCCAAAATCGTTCTTTTACTTAAAAACACCCCAAAACCACCCAAGCCAAAACACCCCCAACCATCTGAACCTACGAACGCCCACTGAGGGGTTAATAGAGAAGAGAGGATGCTAACACTAAGTAGGACAAATAGAGACAACGCTGATGATGCCCTGATTTA